TTAATACATTTGCTGCTCGATAAAATAATAATCTGAACCGTATGCTGAGTGGCCATTTGGAACCACCGGGAGGAGCGGATTCCCCTGACATGCCCCCCTCACCCAGGTAATCAGACGCAAATTGAAAATATACAGCCATCAGATTTCAATATTTCCAGCCCGCCGGTGCGATGTCACATTTTCTACAGAGCCTGCTGGCTGTGAGATGTGTGGTCAATTCCAAGTGATTTTTTAAATTTTTAAATAAGATTTGAATTTCATCGCCCAATGTGGCTTTGAGGGATGTAACGGGCCAACATGTATTAGGAGCCAGAAAAAGGCGCTTTGCTCGGATCATAGGAATAGGAATTTGTCCCCCCATCAGCTACGCTTGGCCATTTCCGTTCAGATGCCATGTGATTTTTCTGCCCGCCGTACACGGGGAAGAAACATTGATCGATCGTCCCAGAGGACGCAGCAGGACGTGTTCTCGGGAAGCTTTTTCCTCCAGTTGCCAATGGAAACGGTCGTGGTGTCGGGATGGTTTGTAAATGTGTAACTGGCTCAATGGGTTTCCTCACTGGTGAAGCTGAGTCTGTTAAAACGGAATGTTTTGCCATGTTTTTCACCTCTAGTTCGTTAAAACGGCCTCAATATAAAGAACTTTATGCTCCTGTGGTTCGCAGCAGTTTGGGGAGAGTGTGTAAACATTTTCGGCTAACCTCAGGCACTGCAAGTCTTTTCAACTTGATAACTCAATTCCCAATCTAAAGCAAAGCTTAATTAAAGAGTTGTTATCTACAACGATGGGCCGGTGCCTCAGGCAGGTGGAGCTTGAATGAAGGACTTGGTCTTGTGCAACAGAACTATTGTTTAATTTGTGCCCGAGCGTTAATACGTGGAAATGATTTAATCACTTTGAGGGAATTTTGTCCTTAGCGTGTGTGAATTAAATCATGTTTAGTCGTGATATGTATTTTCTCCATATTTTTTCACCTAAATAAATTAAAATATTTGAAATATTTGTGTGATATTTCTGCGCTCACCCAATAAAATGTGAACATAATAATTGTGGTGCTCACAGCAATGCAAGAAAAAAAACAATTGTCTGCATAGAGGTGGATGTTAAGCCCATTTGATACTACTGAAGATTGTCCTTAACTGTCGTGAAAGAATAATCAATAAAAGTCAGGCGTTGTTGCTTTTGGCAATCATTACTCAAACGGGGGCTAATCAGCTTTTTTTGGGGGGTTGTTATTTAGTTTCTACCATGTGGCTCACTATCATATTTACGCATGGGGGTCTTTGGCAAAAGAAAATATAATCAAGCAGAATTTAGTATTAAAACATCATTTGTAAGGAATTTGCAGATAAAAACAGAATATCACCAGCACATTAAGTTTATTCAACTCTATTTCTTTGTATTGAAACAGCACAAGAGGCACGAGGTGAATAAAAGCAATAACTAAACCAACGTCAAGCAAAAGTAAATCATAATTAACAGCTCTAGATATTGTGTTGTACGCTATATTCTTTAGAAACAAATCCCGTCTGGCAGCAAGCCACCTTGAGCTTTACATTGACGTATGACATCACGTGTGAAAAGAGGATTTAATCGGTCAAACGTATTTCTGCTGAAATCCATCCAAATATTTCTGCTCTGCAGGCGAGTGAAAGTTTTCACAAGAACCCCAAAGATCTGTAAATTTCCACGTGAATTATTCAGATTTAAAAGCCTGCTCAGTGTGAAACTGATTTTATTCACCCGCCCCCTCCATGAAACTTGGGATTCGCCATCGGGAGGTTTGGCGATGTCCCACACACCAGAAGAGAAACTTCAACATGCGCTGACTTCAAACTCACACCATGCACTCTCCTGGGAGAAGATAAAATGGCTCTGAGCATTTGGTGCCGTCCTTCTTATTCTTCGCTGAGTGAATTATTCTGTTTTAAAGCAACCGGGGTGTGTTGAACATAAAGAACATACAATAGTTTGAAGCTCCTCTCCACGTGGTGTCCAAAGGAACGCTGCACACTTCTCCACAACGGGATTAACCCAAATGTGGCCGTGACGTCTTTGATGTTCCCGTCCCGTGATTACCTCTGAGCTGCCTCCACCCAATCATCATTAAGGCGATGAGGCGTGGAGAAGAAAACCCGGAAGGTCAGAAGTTGCATATTTTCACCGCGCCGCGCCAAAGAAAGGCAATTTGGTGAGGCGAATTGTGAGGCGACTGTGCCCCCACGGGGAACGTCTACCCCATTTCTCCACCAGCTGGTTCACTTCCCTCCCCTCCAACGCACAGCAGGAGTCTCATTAGAACCAGACACGAGGTGGAAGCTCCACATCGGGGATCCATGCATCTCCCACTTCTGTCTGCTGACCGCGAGGCTCGTTGCTCTGAGAAAGGAAGGCGACGTCCGGGTGGCATTTAAAACAAATCGCTCTACATAAAGATTAATTAGGATTCCTTGGTATAATTACCGCCGACTAATGAGAAAAAAAAGAGGGTGACTGCTCCGATGCGTTTTTTTTCTTCTTTCCTTTGGCTTCACTAAAGAGGGTAAACACGTTGAGAGGGATTCTCTCCCCCCCCCTCCCCCGCCCCCACCCCCCCGGGTGGACTTGGCTCTGAAGGAGCAGTCAAAACAAACTGTCACTTGACTCCCTTTGCAGCCGTGTGCTGTGAATCACGCTCTCTGAGTGTGGACGACCATTGGAGTCTATGTTGAACAGCGACTGATAAGACAACAAACAAACAAATGAATGAGTCACAGCCTCCAGATGTACCTGAGTTCAGGGACACACACACGCACACTTATACGTGCCGTCTGAGAAGACAAATGTCCTCCTGCGGGGGACGACGGGGCCGGTCCGCCACTGATAAACGCTGAGTGCTCGTTGTCCCTTTCATGTGATCTGTGTGCTAAAACACCAAACTGAGCTGCTTTATAATCATCGGCCCTCGAAAGGTCACACGGGGAGAATACGAGACACTCGGAGCATAACAGAGCTTACGGGGATCAAAGTGTGACGTGTGGAAAAAGACACAATGTTCTTAAGACGAAAACATGGAGGACTCCTCGGTGCCAACCTCCATCATCCATTTCACTCTAAACGGGACCTTCATTTCCAGGATGAACATCACGCTCTATTTAACAAAACTTGAAACTAGCAATCAAGACAACAAACTCATGTTTACAATGTTTACTGAGGAAACAAACCACTTGAGAAGTGGAGTCGTTTTCGAGTTTCGAGTTCTATGCAATCTAACGAAAATAAATGGAAGCGGAGTCATTTCCAGAGAGATCGTTTTCTGCACTGGGTTCACCTTTCAGGCACATTTGTTGCCCTCTGGTTGCAGGTTTTAACCCGTAGATGGATAAAGTTTCCTTCCGCCATCTTGCATGTAAGGTGTCCTGCACGTGACATCGTCCAACGTGAGTAGTTTGTTCCGTCTTTCCTTTTCTCCATTGCGCTTGTTGTATCCTGAGTACAAAGTAGGGAGGATATACCCGACTCGGTAACGCTTTATATTAAGGTCCTTGTAATAACAATTAATTAATAGGTAATAACATTATTAACATTTATAAGCCTTTATAAGTGTTAATAATGACATTATAATACAATTAATAGCAGGCTATAACAGCTTTATAAGCATCTTTGCTATGGCTTTATTAATCTTTTTTGGTTTGCTTATTGATATTAAAATATACTTTATTGCTCGTCTATTATGAGTTAACTATGCACTTATTAACAGTTAACTATGCTTTTTGCAGCTACCGGATCTAAAGCAAGAACAAGCCTTATTAAGGATAACAAATATTCTATTACGTGTTAATTACTGGTTAATGATTTTTACAACCTCCACATCTAAAATGTGGTCAAGGCTGATATGATGGGAAGGAAAAAAATCATAATACAAGTGTTTCAACTGTGAAGGCCAAAAATCTGCCTTTTACCCATTAATTAATGGTTATTACATTTATTCCCATAACCAGCTGGTGCACCACACTAAATTATGTCTCGCCAGCAAAGAAACAATAGAGCACCAAATAGGAGCCGTGAGCTTTCTGTGAAAAAGAGTGTGACATCGTCCGTGTTTCCATCCAAAAGCGGAGGGAAGAGAAGATGTAAGGCAACGAGATGTGAAATCGATTTCCTGCAGTAACAGATTATGAAATCATACATCATAATATCCACGTGTGGACAGGCGTAACCTTTATTCTACTGCCAGAGGGATTCCATGGATCAGCACATGTGCAGCATGATAATCTGCCCTCGCCGGACGCTCCCCGTCCCTCCTGTGGTCGCTTGCTGCCCCAGTGTGGTCATAAATATTTAACACAATACTGCCGCAGTCAGCTTTTAAGGGCCACTCATCAGACTGTAATGGTGATATTATACACCGCAGGGACGAATTCAACATGAGCAGGGAGGCTTTAAAGTGAGTCTCACATGGTTCCTTTAAGAAAAGAAGAGTTTCCCCCATCGTGTCTGTTAATCTGGTTTCAGGGTGGAAATAATTCAATGAATCTACTTTGGAATAAAAACCATTCTGTTCTACCGACACTTCGGTCTCCATCATCCATCATCATGAAATACATTTAAAGCAGCTGCAGGCAACATGCAACCTTGTTTTCCCGAGTCGTTTTGTTGTTCTTTGATGGTTCATTCTTCTGTGTTTCCATTTGAATCCTTATCAGCGTTGGGTTTTTGATCTTTAGAGTGAGGCTAAAATGCCATTTGTCCTCTTATTATTAAATCAACGGCAAGTGTTCACTTTCAAATTGAACAGGCCTCTTGTAAAGGCACGTATGCTGTATTCAAATATCACCACTGTTCTGCAGCCGTCTTTTAGAGGCATTTATAGACGCATAGTACTTTCAAAAGCTTGTGTTGACTGCAGTATTTTTTAAAGTATTCATTCCGAATTCATTCTGCAGCTCTCTGTTGCAGAAGACGAGGAAGCAATAACATGATGTTTTTAAAAGGACGGCAGTCAGTTAGATGAATAGAATAGAAAAACACTTGTTTTATTTTAATGTGCAAATAGAAAATTCGATGAAGGTAGACGGAGTGTGAACAAACCGTAATAAATAAATACCATCCCTATTTACCCGTAATGCGTCGCTAATTGAAGACGTCTTTCTCCTTTAACGGTGCACGTGGTGGGTGGGGGACACGGGCAGCGCGCCGCGGCGGCGGCGGCAGGGCGACCCGTAGACGGGGCTCATCCCCGCGTGGCCGAGGCTCTCCACCCTGCCGAACTGCCGCAGGTGGAAGAGCAAGGTGAGCTTTCGGGTCATGGTCCTCAGCGCCAGGAAGGAGGCCAGGATCTGGGCCAGCAGGAAGGCGAGGTACAGGGAGTGGACGGCTCTCTCCAGGGGCAGGATGAGGATTCCCTCGTCGGTCAGGAAGAACAGCAGCACCGGCAGCTGGAACATGAAAGACAGCAGGCAGAAGGCCGCCAGTTCTGGCACCTGATGACAGGGAGGAGGGGGGGGGGGGGATGGTTTACACATGCAGGCCTGAATACTTGAAGCAGCCGCTTCCTCCGCTGCGGCGTCCAGGAGACAAGTCCAGGATGGGATGTTGGTTGGAATGACCTTTTCTCTGAGGTTGCCAACGTAGCCCAGGTAGAGCCGGACCACTTCGATGATGGTGAGGAGGATCATGCCGGTGATGAGCAGAGCCTGGTAGTATCCGGGGAGATAGTGGAACTGGACGCACAGACACAAACGCGTCTGTCACACCCGGCGGCACACAGGACTTGAGGACTTGGGGTTAAAAGCACTCACCTTCACTTCCAGCATGAAAACAGCAGAAAACCACCAACAGGGAAAGTAAAAGATGTTGAAGTAGAGAAGCATCTGGAGGGGAAGGTGGGACACCAGCTCGTTCACCACTGCAAGAGAAAATACCAAGCGCATCTGTGACATATCAAGGTTTCATTTCACAGTCGCTTGGAAAACAAGTTTTCACAATTTGGATTTCAGACATATTAAACAGAAGATTGATGATTAAAAGGGACTTCAACTACAACTAACCCACAGTTCTAACGGTACTGAAAGCCAGAAAGCCGCATTTGTCAAGTTATCCAAACTTTAAAGTGACACAAGAACAGTAAAAACTTTTAAAAAACACCAAAGTTATTCATTATTTATCACCGCGGTATCGCTGAAGGAACATTTGATGAACGTGAAACCTTAGTTTGAGTTGTCGCGTTTCTATGCACGGATGTTATTCGACAAGTGACCAACCGGAGGCGTCCTCCTGCTCCCTGGAGAAGTCGCTGTCCGCCGTCCTGTTGTTGCTGAACACGGAGCCTCCCACGTAGGCCAGACCCACCTGCAGCTTCTCGGGAACAGGCGAGTAGAACACCGGCATCGTGGGGCAGAGCCGGCGACCATGGCCCGAGCGCGAGAAGCGAGCACGAGGAGCGAGGAGGCGCGCAGACTGGCCGGAAATCTGCTGCCGGTACCTCCTCGTCTTTAATCGCACAAGTTCCCCCGATGCACAGAGGAGACGCTGGCAGACTCCACTGCTAATCAGATTACAGCGGGGGAGGCGGGAGGAGGATTAGGGCGAGACGGCAGCATGGCGGTTAGGATGTAAGGGGCTGTTCATAATGCACTGTGGATTTGTTTATCTCTAGGATGTTGTATGTGATTCAAAAGGGAAGATTCACGCCAAATATCTAAATATTTACTGCTGCATACCAAAGGATTTTGTTTGTGTCTTTTTCACTTTGAGCACCACAAGCTGAGTGTCATATAGACAAATGATCACAATGAAAGATCTGGCAAACTTAAAGCGTCAATCCATTTATTGAGATCTTACAGGCGTCTATATTCTTTATTAAAGCACATGAAAACAGAGCGACGGGGCATCGACTGCCACGCTGCACCCAGCCAGCGAGTCCTCAGAGTGGTGCCTGGCCTTTGCGTTCGGCCTTGCGGCCCCACTCGTCACTAATGTGGCCGCGGGTGCAGCGGCAGACGTCGGCCACAAGGTGTCATCACAGCTCGTCCCTGGGGGGCCGCAGGGGGAAATGCTGGAACTCCTCCGGCACCTCTTCCCCTTTCTGGGACCTCTTGTAGAAACCCAATGAGTCCAACAGGCTGCCGATCTCCTCAGCCTTCATTTTCTTCACGGGAACAGTCTACACACACACACACACACACACACACACACACACACACACACACACACGCGCGCGCATTGGACACATGGTTTCAGGCCTAAAGGCCGGATGTTGTTTAAGGAGCATCTTTGTGTTTGCAGACATACGGTTTCCTCCAATTCACTTTAGTTTAAAAAATTGATTGTTATTAAAAGTTGTTCAGTCTGATATTTATACATCTAAATCCCTCCCCTGTGGATTTGTTTCCGTTTATTTGTCTTGGTACTAAATCTTCATATAAAGTCAAATTACAGCGCCCACATTATGAAACAATAAATAAAAACAAGAAACATTAGAGCCTTAATGAGACACAAGAAAAACTCCTACTCGTGGCTTTTATAGATGGAAATAAAAGTTAAAACCTCAGCGCAGAACAGTGTGAGAACAGTCGACTCTAAAACCACAGCTGTGTGCGTTCAGAAGAAGCTGACGCCGAATCAATTCATCAGTATCAGTGTTACATTTGGCCTGAATGCAAATCCACGGGCTTTTTTTTTTTTTAACATTAACTAGGAGTTAGGGCTTGACAAAAAGAATACTGCTTGGCTGTCAGAAACTTCCATTCCTGTGCTTTCACACGGGCGCCATCTGGCCCATCGGCCTCGCTCTCTCAAATCGCACTCGTGTCCGCGCGTCTCCCCAGATGAGCCCCATCACGGGGGCCCCACCCGACTCACGTCTCACCTTCACCACCTCGTCCTCCTCGTTATAGAATATCAGACGGGGATTCTTCTCCTCCGATGAGTCGTATTCCAAGTTGTGGCTGCGCAGGAAGGAGCGGATCAAAGGAAACAACAGGAAAGCACCGTGCTGAAGAGTAAAGCGCATCCATCTGGTTTCTCTACACCTCCGGGCTCACTCGACATTATCGGCCGCTCGGAAGGGTGCTGAGGAGCTCACAGAGCTGGCAGCGCACTTGGCAAACCTGCTAGAAACGTTGTTTTTTTTCCCTCACGAAAGAGGCCCGCGAGAAGAAAAAAAAAGAAAACAGCCCGAGGAACAGAAGGATACTATAAAGCCCAGCGCTCCATTAGGAAATGATGGAGCTCGGGCATCTTCTTTATGCCTCATCCGACCACGCTGGGAGCCTGCAGGGGCCGACAGGGACGACGGTTGTTTAAGACAGAGAGACATTGTGCACGCTTTGCGAGGCCGCGCTTCACAAAGACGCGGGCAGGCGGAGGTGTGCGTGATTGCATCCGTGCTCACCAGCAGTTTTCCTCGGGCGATGTCGAGCTTCTCGTCCGCCGCCGTGTCGTTGCCGGTGTCTGATGCGCTGACAGCGAGGGCAAAGGTGAGCACCAGGAAGGCCCACATGCTTCTTCACAGCTCTCCCGAAGCGCTTCTGCGTAAGTCACTGCTGACGCTATCTGGCCCATGTCTCATCCACATGGAGCGTTTCTCAGGGTGGACGAGACCACCGCACCTTCCCGCAGGGGACCAGTGGTCTCCTGCGTTACACTTTCTCCCTGTTTCCGGTTGGATTTCAATCACGCGGCCTTAATGATGGAGAGGAGCAGGCCGCGGGTTGGGCCTGTTGTTATGGTGGCGGTCGTCGCCTAGTGATTTGGTTGTTTTTGATCTCACATTGGAAAGCTTCTGGCTTCTGCGCGTTTAGTTTCTTCCACATCGGATGTCATCAAGGGGCCCGAGAAATGCACACAACACCTGCGCTCTTATCACTTTTTCCCAGAGAGTTGAGTTGCAGGTGGTTGCTGCTGCACATCAGCACACCCCCCCCCCCCCCATGCAACGTGGACATTTCGCAACTTTTTTTAACAGCTAATTATCAAAATCGGCTACTCAGATGGGGAGAATTGTTGTGTAGTTTAGTTATAAATTCCATCTTCGGTAGGATTACGCGTTTGTTTGTAGTAATTGATAGTTCTGGTTCAATTGAAACCTTTAAAAAGACAGAGACACAAATGTTTCTCACAGCAGCCATAATGTAAAGAAAGAAGGGGACAAGAAGGTTCAATCAGCCCCTCTAGATGTGAGTAACTAACATTTCTTAATGTTCCATTCATTCGTTTAACAGTTTAACTCTCTCTTGCCTAACAGGCACAGTGACTTCCCAGAGTTCCCAAAATGATTCCTTTGACTCTAAATGATGTATGCAGATTAAATCAATGATATCATCGTGGCCTGGATGGTTTAAATGTCGGCCAAAACAAATCTTGAAACACATCTGTTAAGCCTGTACCAATGTGTTCTGTATCCTAAAGCAGATTCGCAGACCCAAAACGTCAGCAACTGAAGCAAAGAAAGAAACGTGACAGACCTCTCACAATGTTTCATTCTCACAGTGCTGCATGAGGAGAGATGAATAATTCTATTGTGTACTCGTGTATTAAAATCAAACCTCGTGACAGAACAGCACATTTGCAGTGTGTTAACACCCTGAAGAGGAAAACGTCTCTGCTCTCCAAGTTTACACAACACAAAAAAAAAAAGAGAGAAAAGGCGCAGCGCACCGGGTCACCACAAGAGGGCAGCAACGCCCGCACGCACACTTCAAGGCAGTTTGGCGGGTAAAGTGTTCTTGTGACTCCGCAGCCACAGATAATTATGATTCCAACGAAAATAAACCATTCCTGCCTGGAATGCTGAAGCGAAACCATCTCTCTGTCTCCATCTTTTCCAGACGGAGAGCTGTGCAGCTCAGAGTGCGGCTGCTCGCCGTGTACTATCTGAGATGGTGTGTCAAATGGCAGTAAAACAGTCCCCCCCTTTTTAACAGGGTTCCCTCCCCTTGGCAGCCGTCGTAAATCCGCCGGCCAGTATACTTCTCTACCTCTGTTTTCTCCCCTTTTTTTTTCCGTTTGCGACTTTGTTTTTCAAAATTCCCCTTCTGTTTCTCACAACGCACGATCGGCCCTCGAGGGCCTTAAACAGTTGATTGAGAGAAAGAAAGGAAGAGTTGATGAGAGAGGGGAGGAAGCTCGATGAGTAGTGGGGGAGGCAGGAGGGTGGGGGGCGGCCTTCTCGGCCTATATGCGTGGATGCATACCATATGTGCTCCCATTCAGCATGTTTCAGCTTACATCACGGGGCGCATGCCAAAAAAAAAGGGGGATGTCGTGGCTATGAATCTGCTGACAAAGGGGAAAACGCGGCCGTTTATATCCAGAGGGCCGCGGAACAGAGAAGCGCAGACAAACGGACACATTTGCGCAACTTCCACAGTAGGATTTCTCCGCCATTCGCAACACTTATACAGCTGGCGAGAGATCAAACGCTTAAAACACCTCGCCGCAATCCCGCCTCCCTCGCAGAGCTTGTTATGAGGACACACACGCATCCTGTTTCTCCAAAAGCACCGGATGCTGATCCCCGGATCCCCACCAGCCAGCGAGACGGGCGTTTTGTGTGTCGGCCGTCTTGTGATGTGTTCGGACGTTTTGGGAGACACGCTCGCCCCCCCGGTGTCTATTCCTCTGTGCTTCAGGGGGAGTTACGTATTTATGTATAACTTGGGGTATAAACTGTGTGTGTGCTTTTGTGTCTGCAGCCTCGGGGCAACATGGGGGGGGGGAGGCTAACGCCTACTGCCCCGTCTGCCCGCTGCGCTCCAGTCTGCTTATAAAGAAGACAGGCAGTGTTGTAAGAAGTAAAGGCCACGTGGAGGGCTTCATTCAATAGAAACACAATGCGGGCGTGCTGCGCCGCGTGCTGCGCCGCGTGCTGCGCCGCGTGCTGCGCCGGGTTCAAGCCGCGAAACATCATTTACTTTGCTCTGAACTTGGTTTGTCCAGCTCAATGCATCAAATAGCATCACATCTGGTGGAGAAAAGGAGCGAGTTACTGTGTGGTCATGGAGACACTAATTCATTTCATTCAATGAATAGTTGTAATGATTGTATTGCTTCATGGTTGTGATTCTCTGAGAAAAAGCGCGCGGGTCGAAGCAATAAAAAAGGGGAATTGAGTGAAATGTCCGCGCGTGACACCAACCGTAAGCAAATGTGCAGTTCCTGCAGCAGAACGTCACTGAGTTGGATTTAGCTTGCGGTCGGCTTAAACCTACGACCCAAAATAAGTGGCTCCAATTCTCCCCACACAGGGAGGCCGCGAGGGGCTGCTGACCTGTGATGAACAAGGAGGGCGGTGACCTTGTTTGCAGGGTCTCTGTTATGATGTTGGTGAGTCCAAAAAAAAGTCGAAAGTTAGGTACTGCAAGTAGTTCTGATGCCAGATCTAACCCTAAAGTTGATTCATTTCATTTTATTCATAAGGGACTATGTACAGTTGTCACCATTTGATGCACTGTACCAGATTGTTGCTAATTTGCATCTGTACACTCACCAAGAAACAAATAAGAGTATTTACATAAACTATTTGTTTAAGTAATCAATCTGAATACAGTAGTGTGATACAACAGTTTGTGCCACGGGTGAGCAACTCTACCAGAAACAATAATTATTTTTGTATACGACTAACTGCTTTCTTGAACACTGGAGCGACGCAATGATGAGTTCCCTCGTCTCAAAAATCTAAACTGGTGTTTATTATCAATGCTGCTGAACAAAAACCTTATTTTTTTCAATACCTAAAATCCTGCGTCTGTTAGCGCTGGTGTCGTTGTCTGCACTGTTTTCTCTGCTAGCACTGTTTTCTCTGTTAGCGCCATTAGCTGATAGACTAATATGTATATTTTAAATGTATGTAAGTAAGGGCCGGTGAGTCTGGACTAGTGTTGATAGTGAAGAAATGAAGAAAAGACTTGTGCTTCTGAAAGCCACCGTCCCGTGAGTTTAACTATCTGGGTTTGGCTACTCTGCTACTTTGCTAACATGCTAAAGTGTCGTGCGCGTCATTGATTTCCGCGGTGACGTCGCTCCATAAAGAATACAGCCGTTTTTTTTTTACACAATATGTAGGTCAAGTTGGACACGCGTTCCCCTGACAAAGATTCAAGCGTTTGCATATTCAAACAGGGACCAGGGTGATGCCTCAGCTGGGCCTCGTCGTGACATCACAGTGGTACTTGTAGCTCGTGGTGGTAAAGGGGGGGGCAAAGGCGGTGGAGGGATTTGCACACCGATGGACGTCCAGTTGCTTTGCCACATCAGTGGAGCCGGAGGGAGGGGGATGGGGGGGGGCAGCAGACAGAAACCGCTGCCTCTAATCTGTGTGTGGGTAATCAGAAACACATGGCTCCCCATAATGGCTGCACTGTTTGTCCTGTGGAGTAGAACAGGGCTGTAAGGGTCGGGTACACACCAGCACACCAGCACACGGCGACGCTAAACATGCAACTTTCCTTCGCATGTCAAGGCTCTGCAGCCGCCTGCACATAAAATAGGTCCTGGCGTCCGGGCATGTGGAAGCAGAGGTTATCAGATTGAGGCCGTGGATCAGAAGGGTGCGAAGAACAAACGCGACCCGCAGAAAATCGGATGCGGTTTGAAAAAAAACTGGGAAATGTTATTGTAGGAGAAAACTCGGCGTCGACATGTGTTTCCGAGAAATATTTGGAGCGTAAGTCTGCGTCTCGAACAACAAATCTGCTGTAAGTTCCAGTCGGTCGGTCACAGACAGGCCTGGTTGTCAGTCGGGGGTTCAGTGCGTTAAAACACGAGCCTTTTGCTTATTTTCCTCGGGTTTGGGCAGACACATTTGGTCTTGTGATCATTTTCCATCTCGATATCTGGAATGAGGCAGCAGCGCGCTGCCTCTCTCTCCACAACTGCAGGTTGGAGTGAGTGAGAAGCAGTTAAAAAAGCACAAAAAAAAGAAAAAGCGCTTGGATCAGCCTGTGGAATCATGTGAAAGCTGAAACCAGGAGCCACATTATGAAGTCTGAGGTCCCACTTTAGTGAACAGATAGCGGATGGATGCTTGTGAGATGGAATAAGGGATTGGGGGGAGGGAGCAAGGGGTGAATGAGGGGGGAGGAAAACATGAAAAAAAAACACGAGCGCTTAAAAGAATGAAAGAAAAGAAGAGAATAGAAAGGAGGAAAAAGCCTTTTGACTGATCTGCTTTCTATTAACCATCCAAATCTTCCCCACTAATACACTCATTCCACAGAATAACGCTGACAAAGGCGGAAAAATACAGGGAAATTTGAAGCCCCGGACGACTTTCTGCACTCCCCTTCAAAGAAAAGGGGAAAAAAAAGAGACAAAAATCCCCATCTGGACAGAGACAGCAACTGTGGCTTAATTATTTCTTCTATTCATTTACACATCCTGTCTTCCAGAAAGCTCTACGTGCTCACACTGCTGGAACAAAGATCTCAAAGTGGTTTAACATGTCAACCCTGACGCACAATGAGAGGACCTGTTTTCACCGTGGCAAACATTGACCCGGAGCACAAAACCGACGAGTGTGTCCATCCCCGAAAACCGAGTTCCAGCTCCTTTTGACCTCGCTGAAGAGCATCACTCTGTCTCCGTATCTATTTGGGAGGTCGTGCTGTTGTGTGGCAGCCCTTAATTTGTGAATTAAGAGTAGCTTTTCTCGGTCGGTGGCCCCCGCCAGGGTGTTTTTCCGGCTCTCTCGAAAAATCGCAGGCCGAGCAGATGTCACTGGGAATCTATAAACACGCATTTGATGGCGCTGCAGCCTCTCCGCCCCGTTCGGGTTGCGCGCCGGGCCTCGGCTCTCGGCGGTTTTGGCTCAAGAAAAAGCACCAGCTCCATTTCCAGCGAATGTCATTTCATAGTTACTGCATTTCCACAGTGCTCTGAAGCAAACGTCCAACGTGTGAGCAGCACTGCAATTAGACGGCGCTTCTCGCAGACAGCGCGTCGACGGGGATGAGGGAAAAAAAACATCTTTTTCTAACCCGCTCTGGTTGTTTGTGCTGCGGCGAATCGGTCGGGGATGTGACGCGGCGGACACACATCTGTGTCGGGCCGCCGCGAGTCGCTGGTTTGAGCGCGACGAGAAGAAGCCACCCTTCAATCCGCATGGAGACTGCAAGCATTTCTGCTGTGGGTTTTTCAAAACAAATCAGGGGAATTGCTTCTGAGACCGCAGGAAATCATGGCTTTGTGTCTTGAGCGTACGTATCCACGCACACTAATAGGAGTTGCTTTCCACTGAATGCCTCTTAAAAAGGCCCGAGAGTAAAGTTGAACTCATTGGCCACATCTTACACGGGCAGCGAAATACTGCTGCTGACCACGTCCACGATCAAATTCATATTTTCAACCCCCTTGCAAGTGTAACTTGACCCCACTTTTTTTTTTTTTCTGCTTTGCATTGCAGAAAATATTTGTCTTTTCCCCCCTCACTCATAAATTTCTTTCTTCCGTTTCTTGCAGGGACTGAAATGGCTACCAGATGTGGCTCCAATCTGTTCCCGTTGCCGTGGAGACGCAGGGACTGGAGTAGGTTTTCTGAGTCCAGGGCTTTTGGCTGACTCACAGGGCCTGCGTTTTAAAGCCTTCACTGTTCCTATGGACCTGGCACAATGACAGCGGCCGCGCTCCGAGTCACGTTAAAGACCGGCAGCCCACGCGGCGCTGAACCCCCCCCCCCCCGATCACGCACTCCCAACGCTGACCCTTTTCACCAGCTCCTGCGTTATCCCGCGCAGTCGCCCCCATTCTGTTTCAGCGCCACGGGGGAATTTATGTTTCACACGTCAACTTTCAACACCGGGTCAATACAGCACGCAAAATATTACCCGTAGCGAAGTGCAGATGGGATCCGAAAAAAAAGGCCAAGTTTCATAATCACACACAGGCTCGTCTCAGCTCGAATCCGTTCACGGGCAGCCGCCACAAAAATCCATCACAAGTCGCACACACGCTAAATCAACAAAGCCTCATCCTGGACACGCCCAGCGCATCTCCCAGCCGGGACTTTGTCACAACGTGTGGAGCGTTAAGCGCCAGAGAGCAGAGCGCGTGCCGGTTGCGTCTTTCTCCATCTGCAAGTTGAGGACGGGCAGATGGAGGCAGTTGTGTCAACATTCCTCGTCGTCCTGGCAATGAATCAGGCTCGAAGACACGGTCGCATGAAAAAAAAAAGGTTGTAGGAGTTTCAGTCAGACAAGCATCCTGTGTTTGTTTGAGCTAAATGGAGCATGTCGCAGTAACAGTTTCATAAACCTTAGCATGTGCCGTATTCCCCATGTTCCCGGTCGTCTTTGGATGCTTACTTTTCTTAATGAGGAACATAAAATGCAGATGGAAGTTTCACCTCCAGGGCAGTAACTGTCTGCGCTGCATTTTGTGCAAATCCGTCCGGTAGCTGTTGAGAAATGATAATAAAAGAGTCAAATTTGTGGTGACGGCAGAGAAAATTTCAGGATAACCAAAGTTGTCGAGATGCTGATGCCAGACTGTTTGATCTTTGAGCTCTAAAAACAACAAGGAAAGGCCAAACTTCCCAATCAGACTCTCGAGGTCCGACAGTTGTGCAAAATCTTCATCCAGCATTTTTGTTCAATATCCACAGCGAGGACATCATCGTGTCAAGAGATGAAGAACCTGAAGCAGAGCTGCTTCGCCTCCTGCTTCCAATTACCCGTCACATGACCTACCCGTCCATCCCCACATCCACCCATTCATGGATCCCTCTCGTCCCCGGGAAAAACCAGGACACACACGCAGCGCGTGATTAACTCCTCAGGACAGCGTTTCCACTGTTTCCCCCCCTCGTGAAAGGAGCCTTTTGTCACCCCCGTCCTGAAGGAGTCAAATGAACAGTTCCCTGGTTCCCTCGGGCTCTTTGAAGAGCCGCCGTGACCGAACGGCTCCCCGGAAAAGGTTCAAATATCAATCGGCATTTGTCTGGATCTGTTTGAAGAGTAATGTAAGATATGCATGTGCACCCAATCACCGCCCTTTGACCTTATTAGAGTTGATTGTATCCCGGGTTAAGACATTTAGCAGAGACAAACGGGGGGGCTTCGTGATTGTGGAACTTAAAGAACGACGGTTTTCCAAATTTGGGTTCGACTAGAGCTACACGTATTGCTTTTTATTCCAAAGTAAATGAGGAAAGAAATTGAATGACCATATACAACATTGAAATCAAAGTTCCCCCCAAAAAATCCACAAAAATCAAAATATACCTTACAGTTGGTAACGTTTTTTTGCAGCTTTTCAGGCCCTTCTTTACAAAAATGCACTGTACGCCTATAAAAACAGGCACGGACCAGTCAGATAGAAATTGCCACATCATAATTACACAATGTTATGGTTTGAGTATATGCAACTTTTTCAAGAGTGGTATCATAGTAGTATTGTACAATCCGTTCCGTATGAGTTTCTTTCTTTTACGGGAGGCAAAAATAACAACTTGAGGGAAGAAGACGGTTACAGATTTCCGGTGCAGCTATTAATGCCATATATCTACACTCTGCGTCACGCAGCTAAGTGTTACACAAACAATAACATTAACAGGACAATAACAAAGCCAATGTAAACTTTACAAGATGGAAAGTACTCATACGGTAGGTTTGCTTCAGAGCCAAAAATAAGCAACAAATTAAAAAAAAGCAAAAACAACATGAAAGCCAGTTCATTGAAACCAAGAAAAACAGAGGAACCAAAAAAGTCATATAAGCACAGCTTACAAGGATAATAAAAAAGTACACAATGTATACAAGTTGAAAAATAAACAAAATGAGTTGTACCTTGATAAAAGCACTTGAAACCAAGACAACTTTTCCAATTAGCTTTGTCATTGCTGTAGTAATATATTCTACAGCCATCAACATACCGCTGCCTATCATCCGTCCAACAACTGAATTTAAAAACGGTTTCCTTTCTATTCAAGTATCCCCGCCCGATAACCTTTTTGGTTTACTCATTTTAGGATCAACAACATTTAGGAAAACATGGCTTCTTTTGCTTAAACTGATCCACAGTTGAGGCACATTTTAACACTCAAGGCCCGGCACCATTTTGTACCATTTTGCACTCTAAAAAAAAAAGAAATCAAGCATCCTGTTACTTCAGCGTGAATCCACTTAGTTTAAGATAATATGATCCTTAAGGGTCAAAATATCCGGTGCAAGATTTTATTGCCACACAACAGCCGATGGCATAAACAAATACATATGAGAAGAAAGAAGCTCAGATGGCGACATTGACCTAGTTTGTCGTGAAAAACTAAGCGAACAGATAAAGACACCCAGGAGTCTCCTTTTGTGTCAGGTTTGTAGCGAATACTACTAAGAGTGATTACTGTAGAAATACTATCTTTGGCATCTGATTTGCCCCCCCAGCAATGCTGTACGCTGTACACAAACCCCAGATGTTGCTCTATTGAGTTTAAAGTGAAGACATTCTGGTGATTTGGTGTTCGCACAAGTATAAAAAAAAGTTTAAAACACCTGTTTCGCAAAAGTATCAAAGAAATACTGCCTGATGTCTGATGGAGTTGGACAACAGATTGCTCCGGGCTGAATAAAGAATATTACAAAAAATTAATTTGAATTTATGCAGTTAAAAGCCTCGAGACCAATGCTGAAGCTCAGTGAGGAAATCAAAGTGACTCAGAAGCACAAAGGACAATTAAGTACTAAATGTAGCAAAACCTGCATACTTTGGGGCGAAAGATTATTTTAATTAGAGAAAAGCGTTGAAATGTGCTCGAACAGAAAAACAGAGGAAGAAAATAAAAAGGCCTTTTTATCGCTAGGAAAGTCGTGTTGTTCTTGATTGACGTAATTAAGTTGACCTTCACCTGCAAATAAAAGGCTTGACAAACAGAAATAAGGGTAGCTTAAGGTATACAACTGTATTCATGCATTTTGGCGCACGAACAAAACAAAAAAACAAACAAAATAGCTTAGCATTACTCAGAGGACCTAATTTTCTTGTTATTTTTAGTACCCTCGGTACCTTTGGAGAGCGTGCATAAAAAACAATTTTTACGACACCTTAGCAAATTACAGCTATGCAGCCTCCAAAAGCAATCCGTGTATAAATATAGTGGTGGACACACTGCAGAAGGACGGAGATGGATGCATTTTAGATTACGTCTGTGAACCACTGCTCTGTTGTGTCTGGCTTTAGCCGCAGGTTGCGGTGCGAGATCGAAACATAGTCATTACACAAAAAAGGGATCCTTGAAACACAATACGACGGTGTATAAAGTTCATTATAACATAACTCACCAATACGACTCAACTGCACCCTTGATTTAGAAGCATTTCTCTCGGACGGACGGTCACGGAGTCGCAGCACAGTCAGTGAATGTTTAAATTCCTCGCTACGAGGTTTTCCTTCCGACAAATCCATTTTAGTCTCTTTGGTATCCATTACAAAATGTGTCTGTAAGAACATTTATTTCACTACCTGTGGTGGCATCATGGCTGTCTTTTGCTGGGGTGTTTTGCTTTCTGACGTGTCCAAAGTACCCTCCTTGCCCTTCTTCCTGGGTGGCTTTTTCATGGGAGTCTTCTTTGGTGTGGGATCGGACATCGGGTCCCCCGCCCTTGAGCCGTTCAAGTCCTGCTTCTCCGGGCTCTTGGCTTCGGGGGTCCCGAGGTCGGTGGCCACGGGGGCCACCATCTTCTGGAGGCTGCTGGAGGTGGGCAGCAGTGGCTTGGTGGAGCCCTGCTGGCTCAATCCACCGGACGGGTTCCTCTTGGCTTTCTGCGGAGGCGCCGGCTTCTCCCGGTTGCCCTTGGGTGTGGAGAGCCCGTTGGTCTTCGTCAGACCCGTCCCCTCGTTCCTGTTGATACTCTGGGTTTTCTCCTTGAGCTGAGCGGCCAGCAGTGTGGCAGCCTCAGAGTTCATGTGAGGGGGGATGACGTTGGGGTTCTTCGGTGGCTCCTTGGGGGTCTCCTTCGGACTCTCGGCCACCTTCTTCTCAGATGAAGAGCTGTGGAAGCCACTTAACTTCTTGAAGGCATTATGAACCACACCATTGATGTGTTCCATGTGACTCGGACTGCCCTGCTCGTCCCCGGACCTTTTGCCTCGCAGAGGTTTGTGTTTGCCGGGGGAGCCGTTGACTTCCGCCTCCTTCCCCTCTTGTTTCTTCTGCTGCTGCTCGCGACTCCTCTCCTTCATCTTCTGCTGCTCCTCGCTCTTGGCCGAGCCATTGCTGGCGCTCCTCTTTTTCTCCTTCGGCCCGGCGGGCGCCTTCGATCCCCCCGGCCCCAGGTGCTCTGGCTGGGGAGACCCCGTGGTGTTGCCGTGTATCCACGACACTTTGGGCTTGGTGGACGGGTCCGGTGGGCGTGGCTTGGTCTTGCCCGGCGAAGGCGGTAGCTTTCCGTTGCGCTTTGCCTCCGGGGTGGGGGCGCCCTCCCCGTCCTTGCCGCCGCCGCCGTCGTCCTCCTTGGACTGCTTGGAGAGGCGAGCGATGCGCGCGTAGAGAGCCGCGGCGTTGGATTCGGAGCCGCTGGTGGAGCCTTCGCTGTCGGGCTGCTCGCTGCCTTCTGCTCTCGTGATGCTGGTGTCTTTCAGGGACGTGTACTCCCCTGCGTCGTCCTCGTTGGGGACAGATTCTGGCTTCTCTGTCGCTGGGACGGGGCTGCCCTTCTCTTTGCTTCCATTCAACGATCCTGTGGATTATCCGATAATAGTCCAGGATTAGATCATTTAAATATAAATAAAATGCAATGAGGCAGATATTTGTTTGTTGTGGACGGGTGAGTCGAACACATGCAGGACTAACATGATCTTTTCCTCAACATAAGCACGTAGCTTTGTTACCTAACGTCGATTGAGAAGGCGAGTGTTGTATCAAACAAATCTTACTATTTTTGTTTAAGGATTCAACACATACGTGATTTTGAAGAAACGTTAAAAAGCCAACATTTTATTCTGGCGGGTGGGTTGCAGCCTCTAAATCTAAAGTAATGTGATTCATCTGTTACCTTCACAAATAGCAGCAACTCACTTCCTGTAGAAGAACAATAACAAACCCAATTCAACGACTGATATCTGTACCACTTCGTTCGCTGATTTGTTTACACATAGTTGAGTCTTCAATGGCTTCAACGCGTCTGATCCTATCTCCAACCCCAGAAACCTTTTTGGGATGTTTACAGCAATTATTTTGCGCCTGAGTCGCTCCAAGTCAATTTTTTCTAAGCCCCCAAACCGCAAGAACTCAACAGAACTACACAGAGGGCACTAAATAAAGCATCAATCACACAACCCGCACAAAAATCCCCTCGAAACAAAACCTCACTTTCACTGTCAGACATCCTGAATAGAAACGGACGGACCGGGTGTTTTCCATCCTACTTCAAGGAGTTAGTCACTGTTTGGATTCGGGCCATGTGCTGACTTGACCAGTCCATTTCCTGTTTAAATTCCCCCGGTTCTTGAAGCCAGACCTGGGTCTAGATGGCACATGATAAAGAAACTATCTCCATAATGAGATTTACAGAAGCGGGCGAGACACTCAACGGGAACTTCACTTCTTCACTGCGCCTATCAGTGTGTGTGTGTGTGTGTGTGTGTGTGTGTGTGCGTAAGGAGCTTAATTAGGGATCTCAAATTAGGGATATGCGTGTGCGTCATCGTAGATAACTGTTTACTCTAAGGATGACTCACCTTCGTGGGGATAACAGTAAACCGGCCCCTCGTCTCTGTCTCTGCTCTCGTAGGAGGAAAACGACTCTTGGGAGGACCAGGAGGAGGGGGAGGGCTGCTCAGCCACCGACGGGGGCTCGATGAAGCTGCAGTTGAAGGTGTTTTCTGGGTCGCGGTGGGCTACTGAGAACAGAAAACAAACGCAGAAGGCCAAAAAAGGTCAGCCAGAGGGTACGGTACCACGTTACAAGAACAACAGTCTGTTCTCACTCTCTCCCTCGCGAAAAGATGTAGAAGCTGTTGGTTTAATTGAGTCTGCAGAAAAACTGTGATCCATAATAGTTTTTGATTTTCAGTCTAAAAGGCTCTGACATTATGGTTTTTGGATAAGCTCTTTGTTTCTGACCATGAAATGCATTCCAAAGCCATCCGAGGTTGTCTGCATTGTTTGTTATGGTTCTGCAGCTACTTGTTAACGCAAATAACTAAATAATCCATTAATTTATGAGTTGAATGGATTGTTGCGGAGTTTGTGAGCAGTGTTATGAGGTGACACGGTTATCATTAAACAGGAGGAGAAAGCACACAGATCATTAAATAAAAGTTAAAATAAAAAAAAATCATGGCGTTTTCTCTATTTGTATACTTCAAGTGGGATGAAAACATCTATAACCAATGTAATCTGATTAATTAGAAAGCAATTAAATACCTCTTTACCTAAATTAGCAAGTGGAGTAGAGAGAATGGGTTCTTTCATCTTAAATAGAATTGTCTCCCTCCCTAAGTAGGTCAAGTAATGTCTCCGTCTGCCTCGCTCCCTTCAGTCCGTCGTCTTTCTTCCCCTTCACGCTGCGATATTCTGCTGACCCTTCTATCTCAGGACAGCTGTGGTTTCTGGGGGAAAACTTGGAGCGGATCTTCCCATTCGGTGTGATTTTTGGCGCGAACCCCGCTGGGCGTTCACTTGACATGACCGACCACATCAGATGCCCCCGTCCACAATGCGCGATGACACGTCGATCCGATTGTTTAGACCTCCAAAAAAAACAAGTAGAAATCCCCGAAAGAGGAGCCAGAACCCCGTCCAGGGGCAGATCCTAGGTCCTGGGCCGTCGTTGTTAGACCATGACTCAAGAGAGGAGCCATTAGGAAGCTCCACGCGGACAGATTTCTGCAGAGTTGGTGAATTTGTAAAAACGCTGGAAATGCATAAACTTTACTTTGTATTTTGTCTGTAACATCGTGGTATGTGGACTTTAAACAGCTTAGGTTGTGTTTTTCATGCACAAGCTTTTCAAATGCTGAAACACCAGACAATGCTGATATTATTTTCACTTAAATACATCTAACTCTTTCACAGACTAGTCAGACCAGTGACTATTTTTGGAATAAAGGGCTGTAGGAACAGTGGCAGAGCTGCCGATCTGAGAGAAGATAGATGTGAGGATGCATCGGGCGCTTCTGTGGGTCTTCACTGCTTTCAACTGCTATCAATAAATAGAAAGATTGATGCATGTTCAGATCAGAACTGGCTCACATTTGTTGGTTTTTGTGTGTGTGGAACTGACACGAGTGGTCAAAGCATTTTCCAAGGTCCCTGATTTGTTGATTCTTTGCTTGAGGCTGTAATCCATTGCTATTGTAATCTACTTTTCCTATTAATAATTGTAAATGTATGTGTTGCTACTACAGATGAAGTTTGAATGTCTTACCGACTTAAGACACAAGGTAAATCTAGGCAGTTACACTGATGTATTTTTTCTTACATTTTCCAGAAGAACTCACCAAAAGCTTTGACCAACATGTCTCAGTTTGGCTGACTGGAGTCTTTGTGTTGCTCGTGGTTTGGATAATGTCAACACAGGTGCAACATGTCTCCAAAAACCAACTACAGATGTTTGTAGAAGAGGGAAAAGGAAAATATCAAACATTTTAAAATTAATTTACAGGCTGCCTTCCCCCCCGAGGGCACCTGTCGAAACTTTTGTGGATCCTAGAATTACCCCAAAGGAATCCTTGGCAATACTATTCTCATTGGATCACCTTTCTGTGGATGGTCTACCGATTATTAAACATATACAGAACCCAGCTAAATGGTTCAACGCCTCACATTCAACGAGATAAATGACTAGTCTTCACTCCTGTTCGGTAGCAGGCGGAGAATCCGCGGAGGAATGCCGAGCAGCTAACCTATGCAAAGACTTCAGTCGGGTCAGTCAACACGCTGACACATGGGCATTTTGCGACATCGCTTGTTTGCGCTGATGAACAACTGCCGCCCTTGAGAGCGGCTCCTTGCAGACTGCCGGGCCGGCTGGGAGCCACCACCGCCCCCCCCCCCCCCCCTTGCAGGGAGGCCGACACACAACAGGGCATTATTGACACATCCCAGCTGCAGAGCTCCGCCACCACAGTTGCTCAGTGGGGGAGGGGGGCGGGAGGCACCGGGGGTGGGTTCGTGAAGAGGCAAAGGTAGCCCAAAGGCTAAAGGGCTGTGTTGGGACAAGAAGGTTGTCCGCTGGTTCAAATGCTCCAACGGTGTCCAACGCGTAGCCTGTTCACCGGTTAGCTACGCAACCGCTTGCTTTCATTTTCAAATATTCTTAAACTCCAGCGGACTTTTTTTTGCGTCAATGAGGCACTTTGGGTTGTGACAACGTTGTCTTCGGGCGGCTGAAATCTGCACGAATGAGGTGTTAAAAAAAAACGCAGGTGGCGCTGTTCTCAGCCGAAACCCCCGGGTGGACCATTTGGCCACAGAGGACGCAAGGAATGCAGGACGGACGTGGTTCTGTCGGGGGGCGTGGAGTAAATATGCTCAGGACGGAATGCCGGACCTCAAGCAAACAGGCAAACAGGTGACAGTGTGTTCATGGAGTTTGATAACACGGGTCGCCGTCTTTCTGCCCCGATTCCCCCCCCTCGTTCCCTTTTCATTTCGTGCTGCCACATCTGTTGCGAGTGACCCCGGTGCGGATAAATCACAGCTCTGACACCGGGCTGGGGTAAATTTGACCACTTCCTGTTTCCAGCCCCATCGGGCCCCCTCTGGAATGTGTGTGTGTGTGTGTGCAGGACTGCGAAGCCCCAGTCACAGCCTGAGTTTCTAAATGTTGGCAGACCACACTTCTGTGGGCAGTGGAGGAGCAAACACTGGGATAGGACAATAGAGACGCACACCAGAGGTGATACATTTCACTGCTGTTGAGGTCTGTTCTCAAACCTTTTTAAAGTTTGCTTACAGTTTAAATCCATACGTTGAAGCATTTAGGTAAGATTATGCGCCTCTGGCGAGCTGCCCCCGCGTGGTCCATCAATCTGCCACCGTGCGACGACAAAGGCGACTCCGTCAAAGGACAATCAGCTGAATAACCGAGGCGGCGCGCGCTGCGCAGACATGAGAAAGAAACCAGGTCATGAACTCCTCCCACGGCCCGCTGACTTCAGCGGGGCCCTTTTTAAGAATCCAATTGCAGCGCTTCCTAATGAGGCAGCAATGCTGTGGATACGTCTGCCTTTTAATGCATGGTACTGCGTTCATACACCAGCTGAGGCTGATAAGGGCCTCCCGACCAACAGGCACAGTTCATGCATTACCCACCCTTATAAAGGAATCATGAAACCTGCTGTTCATTAAGTTTCTGTCGGTGGACTAATTCACGAGTTGACTAATTGCTTCACCGCTACTGCAAATATCACCCCTAAGTTCTGTCAATGTTTGTTAAGAATCACTAATCTCCTACTTGGATAATTATTACGGATGGACTCGTTTATGGTTCTGTACAGCTAAAAAATGGATTCCATTTCTTGAAAATATAAATATATATAAATTCATTCATAAATGATTTGTTTAGTTACATAACACAGCCAATAGGGGCCAGACGACCGTCTGCCTGCACAAACAGTTGAATTTGGAAAGAAATCCAGATAACTGTGCGTTTTTAAACTGTCAAAAATGGCTTTTGAACACTGAACAAACGCAGCCATGGTGAACTGCACGTGGTGGGGTTCAAAAGATCATCATATCTCCTCCGTCTGTTACGGAAAAAAAGAGCGGCTCCGCAGACAGATCCGTCACAGAACCACGAGACCTCCGCATGGAGCAGCGGTGCCGCAGCGTTCGCCCGAACAGTGAAGCCTTTGATAGCGCGTCACTCACCACCACCACCCGATCCCCCCCCACCCCCGACAACCACGGGCCTTTTAATAACACAGACTGCTCCGCGGCCCAAGAAAAATTCTTCTTGGGCCGATGGAAACGAGTAAAAAACAAAAACAGGGGAGCGAAATAAGCCCCAGTTAAGGGTTGTAATAATATGAACACATGGCATTTGAGGGTGCCAAGAATAACAAGGGGCTCCAAAACCAGTGCATTCCTTTCCAGTGAAACCCCGCACCCGCCTGGCAGCCACCAAACCCTCTATTCAACCCGATTCATCATCTGAGAGGAAGACCGAGGCAGCACAATTCTCACTCTGATCGCCGCACGGTTGCGTCATTGTCGCTCATCACGGGGGGGGCGACCAGTCCTTCGTTTTCACCTCCGCGTCGAGACGTGAACATCGGCTTCCGAACAGTCGAGAGCCGAGAGGGATGCAGCTTTTGCAGACGGTGCGGTGCGAGCGAGATGATTACATGAAGCGGCTCCTGGCGGTGACCGCGGTGGGATATGAGAAAGAGTTTTGAGGCTTACCGACTACTTTGGGCAGTTTCTGTCGCCTCAGTGGAATACGGGGCAGTTTAGTGCTGATTCGGCTGAATCGTCCACACAGGATCCGCTTGGCTTTTTTGCTGTTGATAGAGTTGCGTTGGTTAGGACTGAAAAAAGGGATGACGCCATGGAAACCCAAATAAATCAAAAAGGGAGCCTATTAAACCTGGCCCTGTGCCTCTTTTGAGGGCCCAGGGCCCGCTCACATCGCTCCGTGAATTGTAATGTCAATACATGTAATACAAATATTTTAAAATGCATTCATTCATTTTTGACAACCTGGCTACCAAGACATTTTCCTCTATCGCTATAACCGGGGCGGAGAGCTGCCGGCGCCCCTCCCGTCTCGAAGACACCCGTCCGTCACTCACTTGTGGTCGTCTTTGTGTCGGCACATGCAGCAGCAGCACAGCAGCGACAGCAGGACGACGAGCAGGAAGGAGACCAGGGTTCCAGCCGCGATCACACCCATCCGCCGGTTGCGCTCTGAAAAGACCAAGGAGCAGGGAACTGCTGGGTGTGCCACACCGGCGCCGGCCAAACTCTTAAAGCCAGTTTTTTCTGTCATCACCCGACACCGGAGACGGTGGCACACGGCGAATTATCATTGATTTACCGAACGAGCGGGCTCGCGTGACTGCAGGCGAGGGACTGTGTGATCTTTTATTGGTGTGCATGTTAGCCTTTACAAAGAAGACAGGGCACCTCTGTGGACGTTAACAACAGCTGCCCGGCATGAAGCATCTCTGAGGGACGTTGCAACGGGCTGAAAGTCACTCCGAGCAATTCACTATTAATCTTCTGTCCCATGCAGACGGGGGACCACCTACGCTTTCACCGCGGGTTTCCTGCGAGCGACATCTCCCCCCCCTCTTTAATGCACCTCAACATAACTCATCTGTGATTTATTTGCGGCCCTCCCTCTTCTAGCGGGATGCACCCCACGGATAGTAAGCGCCATAATCGCGCCGATTATGGACTCTAGCAAGGACAGATGACACCAAGGGAGAAGCAAACCATCAGTTTAAGGGGGGGGGGGACCCCGGAGTCTTTACACTGTCACATCGTGGCGTTGTGGGCGGGGCGTGTCCTCACCGCTCTGCGCTCCCGGCTGAGTAGACGAATGGGGAAGCGGTTTCTTGACGAGGCGTCACGAGGTCGCTGACCAACCTGTTACGTCCACTCACGACCTTTGTGTCCTTCATGGGACGATTCTCCTCGCATGCTTCCGCAAGATCTCGTCTTCTTTCCAAAACTGCTGCACTCTCCCTACCAAGTAGTTTTTTTTTCTCCCGTATTTTCTCTCTCTGTATTTCTTCCTCCTTCCCCTCTCCTCTCCTCCGTCTCTCGGGCTGGACAGGACCAGAGCCAACAAACACAGGCATGAAAAGGACAGCGGTCTGGGTCTGGAAACGCTATCAAGGCCTCGCTACGTTAGCTCTCCCGCTACGCACGCTGACCTGAATAGATCCGTTTGTTGGCCGCTTGTGGGTTACAGCCAACTATTAGACATTTTAATACACAGGTGGCGTTAGTGGCATCTGGCTCTTTGGAAAAAACGGTTTCATTTCGGTATGTGTTGTCACTCACGAGTAGGAAATTTGAAAAGAACCGCTAGTTCCCGGACTGCTGCTTTAAAAAAAAGAAGAGATTTCCTTACGGAGATAGCAAGCACCAGACACGGGATCGCAGTTCTTGTCGTTGCAAGAGCAGGTTTGGTTGCAGTTCACTCCGTGCTGCCCGGGTTGACAGGTCATATTGCAGCTGGAGTACACACAAAAACAACATCTGTTTAATGTTCTACCCGAGCGACGGGTGCATTAGAATGGGACACAGAAGAAGATAAAAGGCAAACGTGGAATCGGTTATTTGTTCCAGGCTAAATGTCTCCTTTGATGGAAGTTGGTAGGAATTTTAAAAGTGTTCTTTATCAATATCTGGAAAGAAAATATGCCTCAAAGCTTGTTTATTCAATTCCCAAGATACACAAGTGCGTGACAAACTTAATAAGAAAGCCATTGACCGTATTTTCCCTGTGCGTTGTAATGCACAAACATGATGTAGGTTTTTTGGGGGGGGGGCACGAGGTGACTTACTAGGTGCCATAAAATCCCGGGTCACACAGGCACTCTCCGGTGACAACATGACAGATGCCGTTGAAACAGTGGCTGCAGTTGTTCTCGCAGTTCTCGCCATACGTGCCGTTGGGGCAACGCACCTCACACCTGTCGCACACACAAGAGGGACACGATGATTACGGTCAATTTAAAAGGTCTGCAGCATGCGTCACAGTAATTATCGCGCTATTTAAATTGCTATTACAGTAGCTCCTTGTTTAAGGCACCGGCGTGATGCTTTTGATGTAACAAAAAAAATCAAATGTTGTCATAATGTGCAACTTTTTTAAACCAAATTTGGAGGTTGGATGCGTGCAACAAAACCAGTGAGGTAGGTTCAAAATCAAAACGTCGAGGCAACAAAAACCTCCTATAGAACATCTGACTCGTAGTTAAAAGTTATGTGACACATGACTTCCACCTCCGGACAGCCAAAAGTATCTCAGGTTACGTAATCCTGCTCGCAAGCCCTGATTGTCACGTCGATTTGTTTAACGTGCGTGTCCATGCACACAACAACATAAAAGGAACTAATTTGATTTGAATATTTCATGACTTGCAATGACAGCGGCCGGTTCATTTACACATTCTAACTTGCACTCTTTGTGTTTCATTACCTGTCCCCAATCCAGCCAGGGTTACAGTGAGAGCACTTGCCATGAATGGGGTCGCAGTGGTGGCCGTCCTTACAGGAGGGACACGCCTCTTGGCAATTTTCACCAAAGAAGCCTTTGGAGCAGAGCTGGTCACACCGTGTCCCATTCCAGCCCCGGTCACAGGTGACGCAGCGTCCCTCGGTCACCTTGCAGGGCTGCTGGCCCTTGCAGTGGCCACACCTGTGGCCATCCAGGGAGAACAGAAAGACAGTGAACCCTTTTCAGTTCTCCCTAATGGATGAAAGGAATCCGTTTGTGTGCTTCGAATTGTTGCATTTGTGATCATTCAAAAGAGGACGATGAACAACGCTGAACTCTAACCGAGCTCCTTTTAGTTTACATCAACGGATGCTGTCACAGTCCACGGAAAGTAGAGCACTTAACCTGAATTGCTTCAGCATGTTTGCCGATGATGATGATGGAATAATGTGAATACAAACAACCCAATACCACTATCTCACAGCTCCATTAGGTAAAACAGTCAGATATTTTAAGGATCATCAACTGCAGCATGAATCTTATTTCCTACCAAAAACACAAAGCTACACCATCACACGTATCGGACGAGGTAAACGAACATTCGGCATCTGTAAAACTGCGTTTCCTCAGGAACGTTTGCTCTCCGCCAAGATCTTTCCCCCACCTGTTCCTACAGTTTTGTCCGTAGAACCCGGCGGGACACGGCTCCCGGCAGAACTTCCCGCGGAACCCTGGCGTGCAGGTACACGAGCCGTCCCCCTGGTTGCACTTGCCGTGGATGCACTGGCAGTAGCGCTCGCACCGCGGGCCCCACAGGCCCTCTCGGCACTGGCAGCGCGACGTGAACTGGTCGCAGGGCGAGTTGTTGCAGGTGCACTGGGTGGCACAGTTCCTCCCCGTCCAGCCGGGGCTGCACATGCATTGGCCCGACATCGCGTTGCAGATGGAGTTGATGCTGCAGTAGCAGTTGTTGTTGCACGAGGGACCCCAGATGCCGGGGTGACATGTGCATTTGCCCGTCTTTTCGTCACATTTGCCCTTTTGGCACGTGCAAGCATGCTCGCAGGTGAGTCCCCAGCGGTTGTGGTTGCAGGAACACTCGCCGGTCAAGTCGTCGCACTGGCCGTACGGGTAACAATTACACTTCCCCTTGCAGTCGGGACCCCAGAACTGGGCTGGGCACTCTGTTGAAAGGCGGTGCATTTGTCAGGAAGTGGGAAACAATACTCTGATGTGTCAAATACGCCTGAGCAACAGTAAGACTGGTGTGATCACACTACGATGTGTGGGCCGAACATATTCCTTATACAAGTTTTGCCTCTGTTACATGTTAATATTGTACTGTAATACTGTAATGCTGATTAAATAAATACAGGAATTCCCTTACTAGTGTCACAGCTCGCTCCGAAGTATCCATGGCGACAGCGACATTCGTTCGGCCGGACACACACCTCGTTTTCCTTGCAGGTGAAGTTGCCGTGGCAGAGAGCTTGGGTGAACAAAGAACAGGCCGCGTTACTCAACCGGCTCGCCCCAACGATCCCCGCGGATAAATGAGGTGCGTGTGGCGTGGTACATACGTGTCGGGCACTCGCCGCCTAGCTGTCCCCACCCGCTGCAGCACGCGAACCCTGGAGATCTGGAAAAGAAGGTGGTGACCGTGAGGAACCTCGGCTGCAGTGAAACGAGCACCACAATCCGCGCCGGGCTCACGCCTCTTTGATCCCACGTATGCGGCGCTTCAACTTGGAACGCGGCTGTATGATCATGTGGCACATGTGTACACTTAGAGGCCCGTAACACGCTGGGAAACCTGTGTAGCCCATGAGTTTCTTTGGGCCCCCCCTGGCACATCCGGCAGAAATGTGAATAATAAGACACAATATTTTGCAGCAGAAGTTTTTAGGCCTGTCGAGAAAAGGACAGATGCGTCCTCTCTTCCTCCCACGGCGGCGACCTCTGCGGGGCCCCGGCAACACGTCAGCTTCCCCCGTAAGCGTTTGATGGTGGCAGTTTGGCCTCCAGTCAGCGAGCGGGGAGCAACGGCGTTATTAAGGCTGCCAGAACAGGCGCGCGTTCGAGATCACAGGTCACAGCTCTGTGCACTTTTCGTTTTTTTCTTTTTTATTGTAGGGAATTGATTTCTAAATAAGCCTTTTGACAATCTCCAGTGTGGAGCTGACTCCCGTCGACCTTTTTGTCACAGCCAAAGAAATGTAGAATTCATCCGGTGATTGCAGGCAAAGCTGCATTCGTGCTGCTGTTTGCATTTCATTGTTACATAAAGAATACGCTTTAACTGATTTAAAAATAAAAATCTACTTTCTGCATCAGTGCTGAAAGCACCGCATTCAATTCAGAAAGAAAAAGCGAACATAATGGAGAAAACAGGTGAGTGGAAAGTTCACTGCGATGAATGTTGAATAGTGGCAGGAGGGCAAAATGTCAAACTTGTGGAGCAGTGGAGGCCGGCGCTATTTATATTACACTGGAAGCCTCACAAAGCACTAAAGGCAATAAGCTTCCGGGGGAACGACGATTTGTTGCTCAGTGAAGCAGAGAACATTCTATGAGATGACAGCACAACTTCATCCTCCGGAAAGGAGCGCTTGATGACGTTTCAGCGCGGCAGCACCGCTTCTTACATCCAAAACACTGATTGCTCATGTTTTAGGAAACAAAAAAAGGGGATCCTGGGCCGCGCACACGGTTCATTATCACCCATGTTTCATGGCATATTGGAGAATGAGCCCTGGAATACATTTGATGTTTTTTCTCATTACACAGTTTCAATATCCACCGACGCCATTTGTGGCCCCGGGTTTGTTGCTCTTTTGCTTTGAAACCAGTTACTCCGAAAGGTTCAGATATAAATCGAGTCATCGAGATGCTTTCGGATACCTTAACTTTTGAGAGAGAGAGAGAGAGAGAGAGAGAGAGAGAGAGAGAGAGATGTGGCTTCCTAAAACAAATTTCTCTGACTTTTATTTTGGAAATATCCTCCTTTTCAACATTTGTCACGTCACAAATCCAAAACAGGTACCGTCTAAATGAGGATAGCCAGCCTCACATGTGTTATCGAACTGTGCCACTGACACTATGACGGTCAGCGAGAGCGCCCCCTACGTACTCCCGTCCCAGATGTGCACATCTGTAAAGCCGCTTTCTCCAATGGACTCCTCCTCCCGCTGCGCATCGGACACGTTATAGAAAAAGGAAGCGCTCGCAGTGAACTTATATATCCGATGTGGTAACAAGAATACTTTATATAAAACACGAAATACACGTTTCCAGAATGAAGTCAGTGATTGAGTTTACAAATGAACGTCGAGGTTTTTCGCTTTAGGGGGAAAAAACCCGCTATTCGTGCAACAGGCCAACACTGCAAGAAATGTCAATTGTGTTGTTTTTTTAGTGGGCTCAGTTTTGAAAAAACACCATTATCTTTCAACGAAGTGAAATATACTTTAGCACGGAGAGGAAGAAATGTCTACAGTGCAATTTAAAGCTTTGACTTAAAAAAAAAGTCGCAACCTGAAGTAAAAGAGAACGAAGCAAACGAAAGTTGCGTTGAAACGCGTCCTACTTTTAAGCGCCGATGCTTACCCGGATTCTTTGCAAACATTCCTTCCTTTGGGGTTGAGTTCTTTGCTGAAAGTGGAGCAAAAGGAAAGACAAAGCAGCGCAACGACAGCGAAAGAGTTCTTCACTTCCATTGTCCGAGCAGCAGCATCCTCCTGGACGCCGTCTTTCCTCTCCGCTTTCCCCTTCTCACTAAAGTCACGGCGATGGCTTTTCACTACTTTTTAAACACTCCGATTGGTTTTTACGCACGTACTCCAGATGTGCACATGCTTGGCAAACACCAAACCCTTGTCCCCCACAAGGTGATCGAACAAACAAACAAAAAAAAGAAGCAAACTTTTGCAACGTCCTACGCCATTGAAAAACTCAGGAGGTAAAAAGCGGCGACCGGCGAGCGAAACTCTGAGAATAAGTCACAAAACCCAAAGTTTAGGGTTAGTTGGGTTTTGTTTAAAAAATCCTGCTCTCCTGCAGTTTATTCCAGCAAGGTTTATCTAAAAAGGCTTAAAGACCGCTGGTCGACACTACTGGCAAAATAACATCAAAACAAATTCCCAAACGATGCGGTCAACGCGCGTGAAAACGTGTCGATGTGCTGATTTTCGGGGAGAAAACCAACATTGTGGCGAATCAGCTGCCTTTCCGTTTGTCCCTCTGTGGAGGAGAAGCGCTAAACCCTTAACCCGTGTCCTCTCCTGCGCTCTCAGGAGTGGCAGGAGGGAAATTCCTGATTTGTTACTCTATCTTTGGCGTCGCGCGCCATATGTGTGCGCCACCAGCTTCGCGCAGGCCTGCGAGCCGCAGGGGGCCGATCGGCTTTAAACTGTCTGCGGCCATAATTTCTTATTTTAATAAACGAAAAAAAAAAGTTCACGTGGGCGACGAGGAAGGAATTGCACATCTTTTTTTTTTTTTTTTTTACACAATGCATATTACCACTAATGTCGTCCTCGTCACGGATAATCAGGCTACTTTAGACATCTGTGAATCGTCCAATTAAAAACATGATAACATAAAAACATGCATACGTGTAGAATTAGATTGCATTAGAATTAAACAACTGGAACAAATGATTGCTGTAAGTTTTTAATTGATGCAAGCGGGGAGTATGTGTGCCTTTGTGTGTTTGGGGGGGGGGGGGGGGGGGGGTTTAAAGGGCCCCGGGGTGAAAACCTCTTTAAAAAAATGGCTCCCCCTTCTGTTAACACCAACGAAGTTACTTTGGCACATGGCCCCTCCTGCACCGGGTGCAAGGTCCCTTGACCAGTGGAAGGTAATTAGCAGCAGAATACATTAAATCAGATCCATTTTAGCATCCGGTCCGGTCCCCCGTGCACGGTGCGTGCACACTTGTAGTATATTGTATTCTACACACTGAGCAGAGCTGTTGCCTAGCAATGCAACAAGTCTCCGTAGACACAGGAGGCCTATGAGAGCAAGGACTGTGGAGCTGCTTCGAACTCTGCTCCATACGACTGGATGAAAATAATTCAGTAGCAAACTCGGCTGTTAACCACGTTCATGTGAGTTGTTCTGGTTACTTTGTGTCCACCTCTTAAAAAGAAAGGCTGCACTCGTTTCCCGTTTGGTGGGAAATGTGACTCCAGACACTTCTGCAACACTTTTGACCTCACGCGTTGACCTAAAGGGACTCTTCTAAACGTGCAACTTCTCTGCAGTCCGTGTTACACGACATCATTTTATCGTTAGTAATAGTATCAATGCACACGGTGTAAAACAGATTTACCATAAGAATCTTTTTCCATAAAAAAGCAGTATTTTCTTAGTGCAATCTGGGGAAATGCAGATTGATAGCGCAGCAATTAAACTTCATTTGTTGTTCCTGTTTCAGTCTCTTTAGCTGGAGGGAGAGAACGTGATGAGAATTCCTTTCCCTGCGAAGGATCGGCCTGTTGCTTCCCCTAATCTCTCCGTGAAAACCGGCCGACAGTCTTTTCTGGGACAGAGAGAGTAACGCGTCCACACAGCAAGCGAGATATAGGACCAATAGTGAGCACATTATACAGCCGTCGGCTAATGAACGGGAGCCTGTGTTGTTAAAGTGAAGAAGACCGACGCACTCGTCAGCATGAGGGAAATAAGCAGATCCTTTTTTTTTATTCGAGACCTCACACATCTGTGGTTTTGTAAAGGTTAGACTTAGTGAATAAACAAGGGGGTCAGGCACTATGTTTATCTTTCTATCCGTTGACGTAAAGTGGATCTAATTTCAGCTCGTGCCAAACATAATCTCCCCGAGTTGCTTTGTCGTGTTAAGTCACATTCTGGGAGGAGATGAAGCAACCGAGCCGTCACTATTGCTGTCGACACCTTTCTTTTATTTCATCTCAGGGTATGTTTTTCTTTTAATACCCCACCACTGGTAAGGAGACACGGCTTTGATACGCTTTGTCTTAAAGATGTCTGCTTGGAAACATCAAAAGAAGCTTCAAACCTCCGGCGCGGAAGCTTTTGTTTGGTGAACACGCACCTTCACGACGGGTACAGCAGGCGGACGCGATACTTTAAGCTCGCTGGATCTCAGACAGTTTGACAGGATCTCCCGATGATCTGTCGAGACGGCGACAAACAACATGGGTTCCTGACAACAGAAAGGAGATTCGGAGGAACGGAGGCCCGGCGCCATGTTGACAACACGACAATGCAAACCTTCAGCCTTCAGGCCCGAACTTAAAACACGTGCCGCTGATGTCACTGTTCGGATTCCACACGAAGGCGATGCTGAGTTATTTCATTTAAAACCTTAAAGCCCGTATTAAAAATGAATCCCTCGTTAGTGTTATTTCTTTATCTCTATTTTTCTTTGTCAAGTTCAAAGTACGTCGGACACTAATGAAGAAATCGCCCTCTCAAGTGCAGAGATGTTCTTTAGTAATCAAACCGAACCAATCAATCAGATGGTCATTTAGTTAACAATGATATTAAACAGAGAAAATCTATGAAATGTGTTTAAGACACAACATTTATTCGGCTGTCAGTGCATTCAAATGTCCACAATAGAAATTCCAGCCCCAAAGTGGCCTTTATTGTTAAAAGAACCCCCCCCCCCAGTGACCTCGCTTTGAATGCTGTTGACATGTCGAGCACCCAGTGTTCAGTCATTCGTTTGGTTACACGAGCTCCCAAATTCCCAGTGATGAGGTCAAGTGTGGTGTGATGCCACAAACTGCCCTCTCTGGAGGGTCAGCAGGCTTGACAGCAGGGCAGTTCAGCTTATATTGGGGGAGTAAACACAAAGTCGACCCCTGGCGGCGCCGCCGCCACTAGGCCGACATGTTCCCAAATTAAAATGAAACTAAAATCCTGACATTTGCTGTATTTCTGATGAAACGTGTTGCTGAAGCAGACCAAATACAGAGCAATGTAACCTATTTTAGTAGTATTCTAGCATAGCTCTTTTGTATCTGCTGCAGAGAAAGGAAGCATATGTAAGCTGCCTTATTTCAAGCTGCAGAGGGTGATGCAGAGGATGATGTAATTAGAAGTAATAGGCATGCAAATTTGTTTTCACCTTTCGGGGGAGGATCAAAGCGAGAGAGAGCGGATACAAAACACACAATGTGACCAGCATATGGAAACCTTTGACAAATGTATTAAAGGCATTTATTAATTCAACAGGAAACCACCAATCGAATGCAAAGCATTTCATTTAAATCCTCCTTGTAACTGTATCCTTCTCAAATAACCAGTTTTATTGGGACTTGAAGCATTTGTCTACCTTAAAGTTAAACATGTGCCTCTATATAATTATATGATATTTAAGGAAGTTTGTTCGACTTCTAAGCGGTTAAAAACGGGATGATACAAATGGTCAGCGCTGTAGTTTACCGTGTACCCTTGAGCTGGTGGACTGACATTTTGTTAGCCTGTACCTCCAGTTCTCAGAGGTCCTGGTGAAATGGCGGCAATTTTTCACCTCCCCGGCATCACAGACAGCACGCAGGCTTTAGAGCGGAGGCTGGAGCTGAAAGGAGTGCAGCTGGAGTTATTTTTCTCCTCTCTTATATCCAATGTTATAGATCATCTTCACTTCACCCTTTCACCCACAATAGGAGGGAATTGCAACCCGATGGGTTTTGCAGTTCCTGACCAAAATGGGTGCAAAGGGAGACTTTTACGGCTGGTTGGATGGAAACAAAGAGGAATCTCCAAGGTAAGCATGCACAGTTTATATATATAAACAATGATAGTGTAACACATAAAACGTATTATATCCAGGGCAATTTACAAGATAATGAATTCTTATTGCATGGATTGTTTTCTTTTTGCAGCAGGAATCCTTCAAAAACCTTTGTATCTTCTTCCCTGAGCGAACCATGGAAATGCTCGACTGGGACGACAGAACAAAGACATCGGACCTGCTGGTCGTCCCAAAACGTAGAGGTCTGTGGCGCAAAACACATAAAAACAAATTGACTTGCCGTAAAAAATTAATATGTCAGAATGGTTTAATATAATTCATTTTCAAACATTTTACCTTTTTGTTCTTCTCCGTCAAATTCCCACGAAAATAAGCAGCGTTCTATACAGTTTATTCTTTTCAATCGTTGATTCTCCTTCAGCCAAAACAACACGTTGGACCGAACAATCAATCAGTGGTGTACCAATTACAACTATTTCTTACTTTTACACATTTACAGTACATTTACACACAACCATCTGTGTTTAAAAACTGGGATAACCGGGATGTTAAGTGGGATCAATGGTTCATTAGCATCTTGTATTTGTACGCTTATTTAAATATTTTTGTCAGCATGTGCGAAAGATTGTAGGTAAAAGCCGTGAAGTATTGCAGTTTTAATAATAACTATAGGGCCACTTCCGGTCTGCTAACCATTGACAGCATCTGTAGTCAAACTCTCGTAGAGTAAGGAAGGGTAATCATTAGCCGAAGGGGAAATCCAAAGGTCGAGGTTGTTGAGGGAGGCATGAAACGTGAGGAGGTGAACCCAAAGGCAGGTGAGGTGTCCGGCCGAGGTACCCACAGGTGAGTGAAGGTACAGCCCACCTCTTCTCCCAGCATGCCATCGAGAATGGTGTTCGCCTGAGCAGACTGACATTAAAGATGCAAGAGGCAACGTCATCTTCAACGCCTACCGATGTTACCTGATGGTCAGGAACTGACAACATCAACACGAAAAAACGCACTCGCGGTCTAAATGTGTAAAAGATGCATTGCTTACACAAAGCTCTCATGACGGAGGAGCGCGCCGCTCTGACGAATCGTGCAACTCCAAATGTCAACGTGTGAAGAGATCACTGTGAGTCGGCTGCGTGGGGATGCAGCAGGGACGAGGCCGAGAAGAGGATCATGTTGAGGGGAAATTTGTAGATTCCTGATTTTCTGTACATACATTTCCAAGGAGAAGCTGCTTAAGTCACAGTAGAGCTTCATTGTTGAGATTAACATTCTTTTTTCCACCTTAATATCATTCTATCAAACGTCCCAGGGAGAACTAGATGTCATTTCAACGTCGACGATCTGGTTGAAATTAGGTTGAAATGACAAATAGACCTTGGTCAAAACGTTCACTTTCGCACCAATTTGCAACATCTTTTCAATGACGGCCACAGACGTTATTTCAACAATATGGGCCAAAGACATATACCACATACATATAAGCACAAAGCTCATTTCCTTGTTTATTGGTTGTTGGAAGCTTCCCAAAGCTCCACATGCATAGTTTACATTACAGGTCATTTAGCAGACGCTTTTATCCAAAGCGACTTACATTACACTTTAAACACATGGCTTTTTTCAC